ATTTTACACTCTGGGAACTAAAAGGGGGGAGTGAGTAATGGGGAAGAAAATCAAAACCGCCCCCCTTTCCTCTGTGCCTTGTCCACCTGTGGCACAAGGGCCTTTTGCTGCCTCTCAGCCCAGGGAGCTGTGGGGATGTTGCCCAAGGAAGGGAGGGAGGGGGTGGTAGTGGCTCTGACTCAAGGTAGCAGAGATAACTCAATCTTCATAAAGCCCAGAACTGCCCACAATCCCAGCACCCTGGTATCAAAAAGACTCCCTTTGTGCAGATCCACGTTAGCAGAACCAAACTCCGCAGTTTGAATTACCTGTGAGGACTGAAGGAGAGACTTCAGAGTCCAAATGACTGGAACAAATTGAAGATACATCCCAGTGTTGTATACTCAGTTGGTAAAGACTGGTTCGGAGAGAAAAGAAAAAGCCTGGGAACAAATACAAAACAGAAATTAATCAGGTCAGTATCAGAACAGCAGAAGCAATCTAAGCAGCTAACAAGATTCACAAATAAAAGCTAAAGAGAGAGAGCTACACTAGATTTTGAAAAGCATAAAGTTATAATGATACAAAAGAGAATACAAGAACCCCAAAGAAATCAATCTTTTCAGGAACACCTAAACAGGCATTAATCAAACAAAATAAAGAAAAATTTTCCAACTATAAAGTTACAACTACCATAAATATAAAGTCAGAATTACAATCTACTTGTTTATTTTGACTAAAGTTGGCAGAGCAATAAGAGCCCATCTGAATTAACACCACAAGCCCAGACCGGGTCCTCAAAGCCACTTGCTAGCAGGGCTGGTAGAACACCAGAACCAGCTACACCAAGAGGCTGCAACATCTCCTGGCCTAAGGATTTTAAGACAGCAGAGAAAAGGGGGAGCCCCCCTACAGTACCCAGGGACAGTAACAGAACAAGTTGAGTCAAGAACCCAAAGCCCTAGAGAGGTTTGCAGCAATAAAGCAGAACCAAGATACAGCCAGGAAACCAATGCCCAGATCAAGATGACACCTAGTGAGGGTCACACACAGCCTGCTGGTCTCTACAGCAGGTCCATGTACAAACAGATTCAATACCAGAACAGGAATTCAGGCTACAAATCAGTGACTCACAGAGCCCACAACTCCAGAGTAACAAAGCCCCAGGCCAGCTCATACAGCAGCCAAACCCAGGGCTGAGCTTATCTGGGGCTCCTGGGCCACGTGGGCAGAGGGTGTGGGTGGAGGTCCCAGGTGAGGGTGCTCAGGGCCATGAGGGGCTGTCAGAGCACTCAGAACCATTGCAGCTGCTAAAGCTAAAGTAATAATGGCACTGCTGGCTTCTGCTGAATGTTATTTATTCATCAAGGGTAACTTGGACTCATTCCAAATGCCATCTTAGAAATACGTGTCTTAAACACAACTTTCAAAACTTTCTGATTTAATTATTAGGATAGACCTGTCACACACACAGAATCCAGTTTATGTGCTTGGGTAGGACTTGTGCTGCATTTTAATGTGCCTGTTCTGAGACAGTGATTTCAAGTGTATTGGAAAGGACAGATGAGACAACTGTTTATAACACACTTCACTGAAGGGCCCCCCCCAACACACTTGGCTAAGCTCTGGTTCACCCAAAACATCAGCAAATATGCCAGTGTCGCTCTCATCCACAGGATATTTTAAGTATCAGAATGCTAAAGTAATTTCAATACAAGGATTAACAGGGGGCTATGAACAAGTATGACATCATTTATGGATAGTTTGTGTGGATGCTTCATGACTGTTTTTGCAGATTAACATCTGCCTCCTGAGCTGAGGGAAAAAACACCCCATTCCCAACCTCACTGGCAAACCACTGGAGAACAGCCCTGATGCTCACACACCAATCCCATTTCACTTCAGGAGGATATTAAGTTGTTGTAGTCCTTGCTCTGACAAAGCATATTCACCCCTAAAACTCTGGGGTTTAGTAATTAGAAGATGGAAAGATAAAGTGTTAGAATAGCTGGGATGGAAGGAAAACATCACCTCAGAAGTGAATGTCTCAGTTTTAAAATGTTCCTTGAATATGAATAAAGCTTAGAAATGTGGTGGGGTTTTTTTTAATGTTATTTTCCACTCAATCAGAGTGAATCATAAACATTACCTGTCACAGTTAGTAACTGCAACTGGATGGAGTCTGATTTACTCTCAGGAGATTATTATGCCACACAGGTTCTAATATCTCAAACTCCAAAGCTATGACTGCTAAAATCAGTTTAATTATACTCCTGAAAACCAGTGGAAGAGTGAATAGAAAGACCAAAGCTGCTGTAGAAACGCTAAAGAAGCTTTGGGTCTTATGAATACATTGATGTAAATGCTTTCAGACTCAGCTATAATGTTACTATAATTTATTTTGTTTTTCAAGGGAAGTGCACCTATCTGCAAATTTGTATAAGCTGAAATACTGTAAAGGAACTGGGAAGTTATACTTCTGTCCTCCATATCCACCATACTGAAGAAAAAATGTGGATATTTCTCATTGCTGAAATAACAAAACCTGGATCCTCCCATGACAGACTGACAGAATCCCTCGTTAATTATTGTGATAGTTTCATCGTGGATTCTTACTGTGGGTTGCAGGTAAGTGCTCAGACCACCTTGTAGGGGAAAGAAGAGCTGGTTTGTGCTCCAGAGCAAGTCACTGGCTGGGCACAAAGGGACACAGCACATGTGTCCAGACACACAGTTGTACTGGGAGTAGCAAGGCACAGAAATGGCACAGGGATCCTGCTCTTGCATCCATACTGGGGTAAAATCTGGCTGGTTTGGATTTGGGGGGTGTTTTTGCCGACATTTTGCGAAATCTCTTTGCAGAGGTTTCCCAGCAGCTGTTTGCAGCACAGAGGTTTAACCAGCCTGCCTGTCAACTGACACAGGAAAGGGAACAGCAGAACGCAGGCATGACAAGGGCGGTCGAGGCTGGAAATGTGGCCTTGCACTATTCTGTGTGGGAGAGAACACACAGGCTGGGAAAAGGGTGAAAAGGGAGGGCAGGAAAAGCTAAAGCAGTCAAGGATATCATGGAGTAGAGGAAGCTTCTTTTAAAGCAATACCGCAGGCAGAAAATAGGATAATACTGCACAAAGAAAAGAATGAAATTTATCTTTATGGATATTTTTAAGAAGGAAGTTTAAGTTGTATGCCAAACAGGGAAAGCCACATTGTTGGAAGCTTATCATGGTAGTAAAAGGCCAGGGAAAAACCCAAAAAACCAAAACAACCCCCAACCTGCTCTTTAATGCAAAGTGTTATGGTTGTTCACGGGTAACTTGCATCTGCAAAACTACCTCTAAACCACAAGAAATACTCGGGTTAGGGCTTCTTTTAATAGCAGTCAGGACAGTATCTCTTTAGTAACACGATAACAGTAACTCATTTGTAAAACAGGAATATTGGCAAGTGTTGGCAAGTTACAAAGAAAACCCTGCATAGTCTCTGTTCTAATTGACAGACTCTCGTTCCTTTGCTAAAGATGACACAGCTTTGAGTGACTGTTACTATAATGATGTTAACATTGTGATGCTTTGAATGCTGTAGGGTGGATGTACAAGGTAACCTAGTTAGTTTTTGTTACTACAGATTTTAAGGTTAATTTGTTGCAGCAAAATTATTCTGGAAGACAAAACCAGCTGTAGTTAAAAAGATCTGAGGCAGATCTTTAATCTGGTCACAAGTAAAACTATACACTAATGGCTGCACTGCAGCTAAATCAGATTAAATTACTTTAATTGCATGATTTTTAACTGCTGTAGATGGAGGCCCCAGTACCTATGACACTAATTTATGTAAGGGACTTACACAGGTGTAACTGTTTCTCATGCTGGTATCAATATAGTGGTATGGAAACCATTTACACAATCTAACAGTGGTCGAACAGTTCAGAGCCGTGTAAGGAAAGCCCTGAGTCTGCTTTGCAGCCCATTCGTTGCTGGTGGTGTGTCCTGGCTGTGTCAGGAACAGTGTGACAGCAGCACCAGGGAGGGGATTCTTGCCCTGTGCTGAGGACATACCTCGAGTGCTGTGTCCAGCTCTGGGCTCTCAGGTCAGGAAGGACATGGAGGGGCTGGAGCAGGTGCAGAGAAGGGAACACAGCTGGGGAAGGAGCACGGGTCTGATGAGGAGCAGCTGAGGGAGATGGGGGAACTCAGCCTGAAGGAGGCTCAGGTGTGACTTAATTGCTCTCTACTCCTTAAAAGGAGGGTGTAAGAGGGTGGGGCTCTTTTTTCTAGGGCAACCAGCGACAGGATGAGAGAAAACGGCCTCAACTTGTGTGAGGGAACGGTCAGGTGGGACGCCAGGAAGGATTTCTTCGCAGAAAGGGTGAGTAGACACTAGAAGGGGCTGTCCAGGGAGGCGGAGGAGTCACCGACCCTGGAGGTGCTTAACGAAGCCCTAATTTGGGTGACAAGGTGGTGTTTGGTCTCAGGTTGGACTCGATGATCCCAGAGCTCTTTTCCACCCTGACCGATCCCGTTACTTGTAAGCGCTTCGTGCGGCCCAGCCCGCGGGCGCTGCCTGTGCTTGTTCGGCACCCTGTGCCCGGGAGGGAGGACGCGGGGGGCTCAGCGGTGCCGAGGGGCCGAGTGGGCTCGTTCTCCTCCTCAGGGAACTGCTGCTCTGGCATTCCTCCTTCTCCGCCCCGAGGAGCCGCCGTCTCCCAGTGCCCGCGGTGCCGGCGCTGCCTCCCCGCTCGGGTGTGGGTGGCTCTGGTGGAGGCGGCTGTTCCTCCCGCATAGGTACGGCTGAGGTGGGCTGTGCCCCGGCCGGTGCCGGCTCCGTCCCGGCTGGTGCTGGCTTCATCCATCCCTTCCTTGCCGGCTCCGTCCCCGCCGATCCGGCTGTGTCCGCGCTCCCTCAGCGCCGGGCGGGCAGGGCGGGAGCGGCCCGCAGTGATGACGCGCTTCCTGCCCTCCCCGCGGGGGTCTGCGCCGAGCCCGCTCCGCGGCGGCTGCGGGAGCGGCGGGGCCGCGGCGGCCACGGGCGAGCGGGCGAAGGACGGGAGGAGGCGGGGGAGCGGCGGGGCTCGGCCGCCCCGCGGTGCCGCAGCAACGCCGTGCCCGGTAGGAACTCGCGGGGACCCTCACCCTGCCTCGTCGGTGCACGGCGCGCGGAGCGTGCGGTCCCTGCCCGGCACCGTGAGGGGAACGCTCTGCGCGGGCAGCGCTCGGCGCTGAGGGGCTGAGGGGTGCGGGCAGCGCTTGGCTCTGAGGGACTGAGGGGTGCGGGCAGGTCTGAGGGGTGCGGGCAGGGCTCGGCGCTGAGGGGCTCTGGGGTTCGGGCAGGGCTCGGCGCTGAGGGGCTCAGGAGGTGCGGGCAGCGCTCGGCGCTG